TCCATCATGAGACACACACAGCGAGCGAGACCAGGAAGCTGCATGCCGTATCTGTCCAGGCAATTGACCATCAGCTGACGCACGTTTGCAGAGGCTGATAAGGAGCCGTAAGAAGCCGCTGTACGAGGCCCTCCTGAAGGTGAAGGAGGAGCTGATGCTGCTGGGGTTCATCTCGCTGCTGCTCACCGTGTTCCAGGGTCCCATGGGGAAGGTGTGCGTCAGCCCGAGCGCCATGCTCCACCTGCAGCCCTGCAAGCCGCCGCCGCACGAGACGGACCACCTCGGCGACGCCGTGTTCACCGGCGTGCTGGGTGGGGCGAGGCGCCTCCTGGCTGGAGGAGCCTCCTCCTCCGACGAATACTGCCTCAAGAAGGTACTACATACTACAGCTCAACTGGCATGGGACGTGCATGATTTTGTCTGTGATGCTCTACTTTTCCTTCTTCTTTCGTCTTCGTCGATCTACTAGTGTTTTCCGTCTTTGACCCGTTCAACCTTGTTGGCATTTGGCATGCAGGACAAAGTTCCATTACTTTCATCTGACGCTATTCATCAATTGCACATATTTATCTTTGTGTTGGCGGTCACCCATTTCCTTCTCAGTGCTATTACAGTTCTTCTAGGAATGGCACAGGTACTAACTAAAACTCTGACAAGATGTTTGTTAGTAACGAGTAATTAGTCTATCATGATTTTTCTAATTACTATGTTAATTGTTGTGTAGACGAGAAATTGGCGACATTGGGAGACCAAGATCCAAGAAAATAATGACAGTGGTATGTACTAGGATGCAAATCATTTCCTAGTTCGGCTAACGATGACTTCACAAGTTTTCTTCAATTGTATGAAGTTGTGTTATGTGTTTTGCTTACGGGTGTTGAGTCCTAATTAACTTGCAGCACCTCAAATGATCAAGCATGTTCAAGAATTCAAATTTATTCAAGACCACTTCAAAGGTCATAGAAAACGGTCGAGGATATTTGGTTGGATGGTATACTTTCTTTTTTCTTGTGTTCTATAAGGATCAAAACATATATATTGCCTTATTTCTTTATTTTGCAATTGGGCTATAAGATAAGTCGTCGTATTTTTAGCGTTCCTTCTTCAAACAATTCTATGGATCGGTCACTGAGGAGGACTACACAACAATGAGACTTGGTTTCATCATGGTAATAAACCTACATTTTAATCGATATATAGATGTCACATGTATGTTTTCCGTTATACACTATTAGTGGAAGAAACTTATATACATGTGCTTCATTCCTTTTCACAGAAACACTGTAAGGGAACACCAAAATTCAACTTTTATAGTTACATGATCAGGGCTTTGGAGGTTGACTTTAAGAAAGTCGTTGGTATTAGGTAAGTGCCCAATGCTACTATTACAAAATGTGTTACCTAATCTTTGTCTAAATCATTTGCTATGTCTAAATCAATTACGTATGGAGAAAATAGCAAATTGATATCCATGTTATGCTTATGTAGTTGGTACCTTTGGGCCATGTTGATGATATTCCTACTATTGAATGTTGAAGGTATGTATCACTGAATGTCAAAAGTTTTGATCCACTTATATAACTCTTATTTTGTGAAACTGTCACAAAATGATATTTATTTATTTACTTATTTTATTTTGGCTACCATCACTAAAAAATATATTTTATGTGAAAAGTAACCCCACTTCTTGTCTAACCGTTATTGTAGGGTGGTATGTCTACATTTGGATCACCTTGGTTCCATTCATTGTAAGTAAACATGATTTACTATCTATGCAAAAATACATGAAAGAAATTTCTACTAAATGTTTTAAGGACTAACTATTAGTTATATGCCTTCATATGACTTCTACAGTGATCTTTCAAACTACGCAAGATGCAAAAGAAAAAAGGCAGAGTCATGACATTAACTTACTGTATTTGTGTTTGGCAGATGTTACTTATGGTAGGAAGTAAGATGGAGCACATCATAACGGAATTGGCTTATGAGGTTGCCCAGAAGCACACGGCTATTCGAGGGGATTTAGTAGTTTCTCCTTCAGATAACTTCTTTTGGTTCCACCGGCCTAAATTAGTTCTTCTGTTGATCCACATCGTGCTATTTCAGAATGCATTTGAAATTGCATTTTTCTTCTGGCTCTTGGTAAGAACAATAAGTGAGCTGGTTGTACAAAACCTAATTTAACTTCAAGTATTGGAGAGTATCATAAGAATCATGAAATTATATAGAATATAACATATGGATTTGCTAGTTTCAAATAGGAATCTAATGAATACAAGTAGAACTAACTCTTGCATTTATCAATGTTGCAGGTGACATATGGTTTTAAATCATGCATCATGGGGAAACCAACATATGTTATTACTCGAGTTGTCATAAGGTACAATAGATATCACAGCAGCAGCAACATCATATTGAGACATCTTGTGGACATACTCATTACTTTTACTTATTTCAGTGTAATCTGCCAAGTCCTTTGTGGTTACAGCACCCTACCACTATACGCCGTCGTCTCCCATGTGAGTTCAATTCATAAAGTGAACAAATTGTAGTTTTGTTGTGATTTAATGATTTTTGACTTGAACTTTACCGATGAGTATCCATTCTTGATTAATACAAAGCTTGATTTCACAAATTGGCACCATTTTAAAGTCTTTTGTTGACATGATCAAACAAATATTTCTTATCTATCATTTTATTCTGATTTTGTCTCATCGTATATTGGTGTAGATGGGGAATTCCTTCAAGAAGACTATATTTGATGAAAATGTGACTGAAGGCCTTGTCAACTGGGCTGAAAAGGCTAGGAGAGGCACAAGAACCCCAAATAAAATTACTACAGATGCAAGTAGTTCACCAATTGATGAGGCAAATGGTGGCGTGGTTCAAATGACAAATACACGGGCAAACTCGTCGGTGGAGCAAGGCACCGCTAGGTTGATATAATCATGTACATTAGTTGCTAATACAAAGGGTCCTATAGCAACAATTTCGGCAAGTGTACAGATATATTTTTAGAGGGCACACATATCTTTTATAATGCTAGCTATTCATGTGTTCAAGATATCCCAACAAACCACTCACCTTCTCTATCCTTCCACCAACGGACTTTCTCTATGTGACTTGTCCGAAATTTCAAATCCACGCCTCTCCGCCAAACAAGCCACCACCATGGTGATTCCTAGAAAATATTGTATAGAATATCAAATACACGAGAAACCTCCATATGTGAAACATAAATTATATTAAATTTCACTGTTTTAATCACATTAACCTTCTAAAAATATGCATTTATAATTTTTTTCGGAAAAACTTTCAATCTATTCATCTTCAATCATGGCAGTACAACGAATACCAAAAAAAATTACATCCAGATTCGTACACCACCTAGCGACGACTACAAGCACCGAAGCGAGCCGAAGGCGCGCCGCCGTCATCGCCCCTCCATCGCCGGAGCCGGGCACAACTTGTTGTAATAGACAGTCGGGAAGTCGTCGTGCTAAGGCCCCATAGGACCAGCACCCCAGAACAGCAACCGCCGCCGATGAAAAATAACGTAGATCGGAAGAATCCAAACCAAAGACACACGAACGTAGACGAACAACGACGAGATCCGAGCAAATCCACCAAAGATAGATCTGCCGGAGCCACACCTCCACACGCCCACCAACGATACTAGACGCACTGCCGAAACGGGGGCTAGGCGGGGAGACCTTTATTCCATCTTCAGGGAGCCGCCGCCTCTCGCCTTCCTGGGTAGGACACAAACCCTAACAAGATTGAAAAAAAATGACTAAAAACGGAGCCCTCCCGCCGGCCCTTGCCAGGATCCACCGCGCATCTATGGCCTAGGGCCACCGGAGACGAGGCGGACCTGCGCCAGCGCCGGCGAGAGGCACGAATCCTAACTTTCTTTCTTGGAGGAGGAGGAGGAGGAGCAGGCTCAATAGGTGATGACAAAAAAAATGCATTTATTGACTTTAGCATAATGCGCCAACACCGACAAACTTAATTACAATTGTTAGTAGGTCATTATGAGAACATATTCTAGCGAGATAACCCCAATGAAAAAAAACAGTGAAAAGCGTGTTGCCAAACCCTAAAAGCCTCCACCGCGCCGTGAAACGCACCCTAAGCTTCTAGTCCATATAACGTATAAATGAACAAAAGGACAATCCTTTTTTCGTGGACATGTCTATTTATCTTTCTTTAGTTAAGCCAATAATTTCTGAAATGCTATGAAATGCACAATTTTCTATAGTATATTTCCACATCAAGCGATGACGTCTGACATAAGCATCAGCCTGAACGTTCAAACTGTGCGTATGCACATCTAGCCCACCTAGCTACCTTGCTCGCATGATGGCATGGCCAAATCAAATACTACAACATTCACGTCCCTTCCTTCCTAATAGAAAAATACTTAACCAATTCCTAATGCATGGCATGATCTGTGGTTAGCCTTACATCCAGCCCCACCGTATATAATCCTGGCGTACGGGTGGTTCCAGAGACTGTACATTCGTGGCCATCATTTGATACGGCCCCATCAGATGTAGTTAACGCTTAATGATGGCAATCAAATTTGCACGCAAGCGTAGAGATGTGTGGCCACCGTTACCTAGACAGCGAGTGGCCCGCAAAATGACCGTTACCCAGCATGATTCACGACGCCCTTCCAGTACCGAAGATAGTGACCGTGCTGGCCTTCTGGGTACGGTGTTCTCACTGTAGACCCCACGTGGCTGCCTGGTAGCGGTACACGTGTCTGAAACTATTGTATTCGTGTGCATGAACATGGTGAAAGCCACCGTACGTTCTTCTGCACTGCAGCAGTAGTCGTGCTGCCCGTTAAATACTACTCCCCACCTATTCATTCATCCTCCTCCCCTTCACCTCGTCTGCCTCTCTTGGATCACCCCACGAGAATACGAAACCAAAACCCAAAGGAATCTTACGAGCACCAAAATTCCGAGTCCGAGTAGTAGCATCCTCGAGAGATGGGATCGGAGGCGGATGCGGCGGAGATGACCGGCCCCCTCCTTGCCGGCGCGCCATCGGCGGTGGAGGCGATGCCGCCGTGGCGGGAGCAGCTGACGGTGCGGGGTGTAGTGGTGAGCGCCATCCTTGGGGTGCTCTTCTGCCTCATCACGCACAAGCTCAACCTCACGGTGGGGATCATTCCTTCGCTCAACGTCGCCGCGGGCCTGCTCGCCTACTTCCTCGTGCGGACCTGGACCGCGGCGCTGAACATGTTCGGCGTCGTCTCCAAGCCCTTCACCAAGCAGGAGAACACCGTCATCCAGACCTGCGTCGTCGCCTGCTACGGCCTTGCCACCAGCGGTATGTGCCCATATGTGGGGGAATTTAGTTGAGCATTTAGCTAGGTGACTATGGGATTGTTTGATTGGATTTGCTTTGATGCATAACTCAAAACAGTCATCATGTGTGGACTTTGCATTTAAGTGCCATGCTTCTTGGTATATTATTAAGAAAGTTATTAGCAGGTTGATTTTTACATTTAACTTTCTTACAAAATGCATATTTGATTTTGCTGTTTCTTGGGAATGAAAGAATTGGTCACAATCGGTAGGCTTCCCCCTTTTCACACAGTTCACATTATAAATCAATGTTTCTGTTGATGCAGGGGGTTTCGGATCGTATATGCTTGCAATGGATCAAAAAACTTATGAGCTTATCGGAACTGATTATCCTGGGAACAGGGCAGCAGATGTCAAGAATCCCTCGCTGAGTTGGATGATCGGCTTTATGTTTGTAGTTAGCTTCCTTGGTATTTTTATTCTCGTTGCCCTGCGCAAGGTAATCATCCACATCTTTGATGTGTGCATCTTTCATGTTTATCTGATTATATTTACACTTATTTTCTTTTTTCAATCAAATGTTTGCTAAGTTCAGTTTTGATGTTTGCTAGGTGATGGTGTTAAACTATAAGCTTACCTATCCTAGAGGAACCGCCACCGCTATGTTCATAAACAGCGTCCACACTGCTACCAGAGACGAGTTAGTGGAGTAAGAAACATATCAACATTAATCCTTAATTTATTGCAAACTAAGTTAGCTATAGTTTCGAGGGATGATTATTGTTGACTCTGCGATGCTTCTTGTCTGGTGATGGCATGAATATGGATTTTATATCATAGAGTGATGCACAATTGCACAGCTAGTAGTTTGTAAATGAGTAATCAAAATAGTGGTTTTTATTGACCTATGGTAGTTTCACTGCATTCAGGTAATCCAAGTTTACTATAGGTTCATCCTCGTCAATTTGAAGTATTTAAAGTACCATCTTCAAACGTTAGTGACTCTGAAGTTATTTAAACTTTGATGATCTTCCAGTGAAGTCGCACATTAGCCCTCTAACTATTATACAAGTCCACCGACCATTTGGACAAAAAATCTCATTTATCGACCAATTTTCATTATAAAACATTTATCGGCTAGTTAATTAGTATATATGTGGGAAAGAAAAATATTATTGGCAGTTCAACAACAATAAGGTCTTAATGATCTAATCAGCTTGCAATTAGTTTGTAATTAGTTGATGCTAGGAATTCTGTAATCTTATCCCACTACAAAATGGCTTATACTTTAGCGGGAGGGAGGGTAAACATCTACATTATGCACAGATGGTGGATCTTCTAATAGGTACAAAATAGCAAGTTTATATGTTTAATCTAAAAATGATGGTTTATCTATTTGTTTGCTTGGGATGACCTTGGATTCCTCTATATCGATTTCATTTTGACAACATAATCTTGGGTTACTGCATTTTGAGTTTTGGAGGTACTAACTTTAATTTTGTTCCCGCAGAAAACAAGTTAGTTGTCTTGGAAAGTATTTGAGCGGAAGTTTTCTTTGGCACTGCTTTAAATGGTTCTTCAGTGGTGTTGGTGATTCTTGTGGCTTCGACAATTTCCCTTCTCTGGGCCTTGTAGCATTTAAGAACACATAAGCTTGCCGCTAGTGTGTCTGTGATATTATTACAAAGTTCACATGTTAAAAGCAGATTCGTCTTGTTTTGAAATTGGAACAAAAAGTTGCCTTCCTTATCCTCTTTACGAGTTATTTTGGACATGTTGGGATTGAATCTAGTTATCCTTTAAGCTGGAATATTGTGTGCATTATATCTAAAAGCTTACAATTTCTACTTTTTATAGGTTTTATTTTGACTTCAGTCCAACCTATATTGGATGTGGTCTTATATGTCCACATATAGTTAACTGCTCTGCACTCCTTGGAGCCATCATATCCTGGGGATTTCTTTGGCCATATATATCCACAAAAGCTGGGGAGTGGTATCCAGCTAACCTTGGAAGCAACGACTTCAAAGGACTCTATGGGTACAAGGTACGGTGGCGAAAGATTCTAATTGTTCATACCATAATGAATTAATAGCCAGTTCCATATTGTCTCTTTCTTACAGCTTTTGTCAATTTGACTACAATGTTGTTAACCAACCGATCTAGAACCATATTATAAACCGGTCTAAGAAAAGGAACTAGATCATGAAACGTTATTTACAAGGCTTAACAAAAGCCTCATGTTTTCCTCTATATTGACTAAACCCGGTACATCTGCAAGTTGTTGTTGTAAATATGCAAGTAATACTAATAACTCTTTTATATATTTCTTTCAGTGGGCTTAATTCGTGAGAACCATTAAATTGAGTTTCAGAATATATAGATGGCTCATCTAGGTCACTAACTTCCAAAATTATTCTATGTTCACTTAACGATCAGCATTGCCAACATTATCTTTACAAAAAACTAAGTTATGTCTGCACCCTTCCAGGTTTTCATATCCGTATCCTTGATACTTGGCGATGGTGTTTATAACCTCATCAAAATCATTTATGCTTCCATCAAGAAAATAATGAAAGCACACGCAGAGCAAGGAAGACTTCCCCTTGTTTGGGTTCAAGATGGTAATGCCATTTTATTATTGTACCCAGTTGACCTAACAACATATCATGTCTTTTGGCTCTCATCTTGTTTCCCTTTTATTATTGCAGATGATAACATTTCCAAATTATGAGTAGATGAAAAGCTTTTAAATGAGGTCTTTCTAAAAGACAGTATCCCTTCGTGGTTGGCAGGATCTTGTTATGTGGGCCTTGCAGCAATTTCAACTGCAACTGTACCAACGATCTTCCCACAACTCAAGTGGTACCTTGTCCTTACTGCTTATGTTTTTGCTCCTCTACTTGCCTTCTGCAACTCATATGGCACTGGCCTAATAGACTGGAACCTTGCATCAACATATGGAAAGATTGGTGTTTTCATTTTTGCCTCATGGGTTGGCAGACATGGTGGTGTGATCGCCGACTTAGCAGCTTGTGGTGTTATGATGCCCATAGTATCAACAGCTGGTGATCTCATGCATGACTTCAAGACTAGCTACCTGACACTCTCTTCGCCAAACTCCATGTTTGTGTCACAGTTGATTGGGACTTCCCTTGGATGCGTCATTGCTCCTCTAACCTTTTGGATTTACTGGACATCCTTTGATGTTGGCAATCCTGATGGCATATTCAAAGCTCCATATGCCATCATCTTCCGTGAGATGTCAATCATGGGTGTCGAAGGATACTCGGTGTTGCCGCAACATTGCCTTGCAATATGCTCTTTCTTCGTCTTTGCAGCCATAGCAATCAAGCTCATGCAGGATGTCACCCCAAACGGTGTGTCCAAATTCATCCCACTACCGATGGCCATGGCTGTTCCATTCTACATTGGGGCAAATTTTGCGACCGACATGTTTGTTGGGACTGTCATCTTGTTTGTCTAGGAGAGGGTGAACCGTAAGGAGTCAGAGGAGTTTGTGGGTGCGGTTGCTTCAGGTTTGATCTGCGGTGATGGCATCTGGAGTGTTCCTTCTACCATATTGTCCATCATGAGGATTGACCCACCGATGTGCATGTATTTCAAGCCTTCTTTAACCTATGGCTGAAAGTAGAGGAACTTTTTTAGTTTTATGTGATAGTACCACAACACACTCGTGTAAAGTAGACCATGGCAATACAACAGTACCTATGTTCATTTTGTTTGTCTCTTCTTTGTTATTCTTTGTTAGAGTATCTTGGCATATCCGACTATTATTGAAACTCGATAATACCCCTCACATTGTTGTGGAAACCTTGTTAAAAGAAATGCATAATATATACTAAAAATAACTAAAATCAATGCACAAGAAAATGTAAGACGGTACTAATGATGCAAAAGCGACTCTCCAACATGTTGCAATCAAAGTGTGTTCATAGGAATGAGTGTATGTGCGTGTATGTGAGCATATGCGATTGTACCGTGTTAAAAAATAGGAGCATTATATAATACATGATTGGCCATTCTTCAGTGTCATGGTTAGGACAATTCCTAATGGATTCTTTATTCTCTGTCAAACAAGCACTAGTGACTCGCGATGTTCATGTCTAAAACCAATCATGTTAGCACACAGCTGCATAGCTTTGGCAGATGGAAAATATTTAGGCATGAATAAATTGCAATGGCCTTCCCAAATAGTATGGTGTCTTTAGGTAAGGGAAGCAACCGTATTTCCATTCCTCCTATAAATGAAAAAGGAAATAGGCGTAATTTTTCCATGGCAGACTCAACATCCTTAATGGGCATCATATCATATATTTCTGCAGAAGTATGTAGATGCATATATGGCTGAACCACCGAATAGGTTCTCTTGGACCAGATTAAGCAAGTGCAGAAATTCAATTTGGCTTCTTTTTCAAATGTCAAAAAAATTGAGACAATTTTTTTGCTATCTTTGTCATATACAAATACTACCTCTAAATTTTGAGGCAAAAAGGTTAAGCATTTTGGCCTGCGCAAAAAAAAATCTAAGACCAAATGTCACCCGAATTTGTTTTTTCACCGGCGAAACACCGTTGCTCTGTTCCCCATGAAAATTGTCAAGCATGCTTGCGACACCAACATAATCATCTACAATTTTTTCAGAATTTTTTGAAAACATTTACTTTTTTTAGGGTACTGTTCACCCGGGAGCATGTGCTCCCGGAGCCAAAACGTCGTTCCCAAGCAAGTGTGGATTAATCTCATTTTATTCGGCTACAACGTAGATTGAGTTATAGGTGCACGCAGTTACTCATCATTGGGAGTAGCAAACTCTCCAAGCTTCTTGTTGATGTCTCCCATGTTTTTGGTATCTTTCATTGACTACAAAAGTACACTAAAGGAACAACAAAGGAAATAAAACAAAAAATGGAGGTAAATAACATGTAACTCTAGTAACCTTACCATAGACGCGCATAATTCCCGACAATAGTGCCAGAAAAAGGGTTGATTAGCTCAATCCAGTTTGGATTATAGTACATGGGATTAATTATGTTCATTAGTTGTGTCTTGGTTTAATCAGTGTAATTCTTTTTTTAAGACAATACAGACGCATGCGCTCATATATACGCGCATACACTCATCTCTATGAACACACAAGCACACCATACCCCTATGAGCCATCTTGAGATGGACAAAGTCACCAAAGAAGCCTCATAGTCGACGGGAACGTCTCCTCCGAAAATACTGAAATAAATCCATGAATAAATGCAAACACCAAGACTTGAACCATGATGGGCTGGGATACCACTGTCGACCTAACCGTCCAAGCACAGGTTGATTCTCGAGCAATCCTTTTTTCATGGACGTGTCAACTTATCTTTGTTTAGTTGTTCTCATTATTGAGAAAAATCCTCTGAAAAGCTATGAAACACAATTTTCTATACGTTCATTTTGACATCAAACGATGACATGTGACATGAAGCATCAGCCAAACGGTCAAACTGGCGTGCGTATGCACGTCCCACACCTACCTTGCTCGCATCGATCGCATGACCAAATCAAATCAAATACTACAACATGCACGTTCCCCCTCCCCCCAAAGAGAAAAATAACTCCTAGTGCATACCATGATATGTGGTTAGCATTACATCAAGCCCCACCGTATATAATCCTGGCGTAGGGATGGTTGCAGAGACCGTACATTCGTGGCCGCCATTAGCTACGGCCCCACCAGATACAGTTAAGCTTAGTGATGCCAATCAAATTAGCACGTAAGCGGTAGAAATGTGTGGACACCGTTACCTAGACAGCGAGTGGCCGGATAGCTAGCACTACCCGCGTGTTACTAGCCCAAGCATGATTCACGCTGCTCTTCCTGTCCCGATCCTCTGCCAAGATAATGACCGTGCTGGCCTGCTACGTGTCTGCATGGTAGGAGTACGCGTGTCATAGTGTGGATGCATGAACATACTGAAGCCATCGTACGTTCCTGTGTGCTAGGCTTCAGTTTACGCCCTTTAAATACCTACAGTCCTCCACGCCAATTCATTCATCCTCAGTTCCTCACCTTGACCTCGTTTACCAGCTAGCACCCAAAGTCTTAGGCGAAGGGAGGCATTGCCGCATTGGCTTGATACTAGCATCCGCAAGAGATGGGAATGCAGGCGGATGCGGCGGAGATGACCGGGCCCCTCCTTGCCGGCGCGCCGGCGGCGGCGGAGGCGGTGCCGCCGTGGCGGGAGCAGCTGACGGTGCGGGGTGTAGTGGTGAGCGCCATCCTGGGGGTGCTCTTCTGCCTCATCACGCACAAGCTCAACCTCACGGTGGGGATCATTCCTTCGCTCAACGTCGCCGCGGGCCTGCTCGCCTACTTCCTCGTGCGGACCTGGACCGCGGCGCTGGGCATGTTCGGCGTCGTCTCCAAGCCCTTCACCAAGCAGGAGAACACCGTCATCCAGACCTGCGTCGTCGCCTGCTACGGCCTCGCCACCAGCGGTATGTTTGCATTTTGCTTTGATGCGATCCTTGACTCAGTACAGTCATCATGTGTGGACTTCTGATGCTGCCTTGTGCTAAGTACCTGTGGCCCTTTGCCTGTGTGTATTCCTTTTGGGTGGGGGGCACAACGGTGTTACATTTGGTTGGGTGGAACATTGGTAGGTATTGGAGAAAGACCAGGTTCTGTTTTACTTTCCTTTTTTGCATTATTAGGAATGTTACTATCAGGTTCATTTTTACAACTACATTTCTTAGAACAAATGTTTAACTTTGCAGCGTACATATCTGATTTTGGTGTTTCCTGGGAGTGGGAGAAAAATTGATGACGATAGGCTTCCCCCTAATTTTCACATAGTTCACATTATCAATCAATGTTTCCACTTGTGCAGGAGGATTCGGATCGTACATGCTTGCAATGGATCAAAAAATTTATGAGCTTATCGGGACTGATTATCCTGGTAACAGGGCAGTGGATGTCAAGAATCCCTCGCTGAGTTGGATGATCGGGTTTATGTTTGTAGTTAGCTTCATTGGTATTTTTAGTCTCGTTGCCCTGCGCAAGGTAATCATCCACATCTTAGATGTTTGTGCATCTTTCATTATTAGTTGATCACATCTACATTTTTTTAATCAAGTGCAGCAACTTGGACAACACCTTGCAAATTCAGCAAACTAAGTTCCGTTTTGGTGTTTGCTAGGTGATGGTGATAAACTATAAGCTAACATATCCCAGAGGAACTGCCACCGCTATGTTCATAAACAGTGTCCACACTGCTACCGGAGATGAGTTAGTAGAGTAAGAAACATATCATCATTGATCCTTAATTTTGTGCAAACTAGTAAGTTATTTGTACTTTGGAGGGACAGTTAGTGTTGACTCTCTGATGCTTCTTGTCGCATGATTGGATGAATATGGATTTAATATGATAGAGTGTTGCACAATTGAACAATTAGCAATCTATAAATAAGTACTCAAAATAGTGGTTTTTATCGACCTATTGTACTTTTACGGCTTATATCAGGTCATCAAAGTTTACTATGGGTCCCCGCGACTTAAGTATTTTAAGTACTGTCTCCCAACTGTTAGTGACTCTTAAGTTATTTAAAGTTTAATTGTCTTCCAATTGACCTTTTTTCATATGCTAAGCACTGATGGTTGCCAAATCTCATAATAATCTGATGAAATTGCACATTAGCCTTCTGCCCATTTATTGAACAATTCTCGTTATAGATTGTTTATCGGCCAATTAAGTAGTATGTACATGAGAGAACAAATTCATTTTAGGTAATTCAACAATAATAAAGCTTTACTGATCTACTCAGCTCGCAACTAGTTTGTGATGAATCAAGGCTAGGAATTCTGCAATCTTATCTCTCTACACAATTGCATATACTTTTAGCGGGAGGGGGGGGGTGTAAACATGTACATTATGCACATGAGATGAATCTTTTGATAGGTACAAAATAATAAGTTTATCAGTTTTTAATTAAAATCATGGATTATCTATTTGTTTACTACGGATCAAATTTGATGTCTCTGTATCAGTTTGATTGTTGACTACATTTCTTGGGTTAATGTATTTCGTGAGTTTTGGTGGTACTAACTTTATTCCCCTGCCTGCAGAAAACAAGTTAGTTGTCTCGGAAAGTACTTAAGCATAAGTTTCCTGTGGAACTGCTTTAAATGGTTCTTCAGTGGTGTCGGGGATTCTTGTGGCTTCGACAACTTCCCTTCTCTGGGCCTTGCAGCATTTAAGAACACGTAAGCTAACTGCTACTGTGTTCGTGATAAAATTTTGAAGTGTGTATTTTTACAATTTAAAAACAAAACACTTTATTTGAAATCGAAACAAAAATTTGCCTTCCTTATCCTCTTTATTAGGGATTATTTGGAAATGCAGGGATTAACGTATGAAACTACTATCCTTTAAGCTGGAATACTCATATGCATTATATCTAGAATCTTACAATTTCTACATTTTATAGGTTTTATTTTGACTTCTGTCCAACCTATATTGGATGTGGTCTTATATGTCCACATATAGTTAATTGCTCTGCACTTCTTGGAGCCATCATATCCTGGGGTTTTCTTTGGCCATATATATCGACAAAAGTGGGGGAGTGGTATCCAGCTAACCTTGGAAGCAACGACTTCAAAGGACTCTATGGGTACAAGGTATGGTGGTGAAGGATTCTAATTGTCCATTTCATAATGAATTATTAGTTAATACCATGTTGTCTCTTAATTATGCCTTTTGCCAATTCAATTGGGATGGTTGTTGACCAACAGATCTTGTACCATGTTATGAACCGATCTAAGAAAAAGAACTAGGTTATGAATCAATATTTACAAGGTTTGACCAAAGTGTCTTGTTTCCCTCCATATTGAATAAGCCCGGTAAATTTGCAAGTAGTTCTTGTAAATATGCGAATAATACCGATAACTCTCTTTTATGCATTTATTTTAGCGGGCATAGTGGTCGTAATTCATGAGAACCATGAAATTCAGTTCAAGAATAAATAAATGGCTCATCTATATCATTAAATTTCTAAACTATTCTTTGTTCACTTAATGATCAGTCTTTGCCAACATTATATTTAGCAAAAACTAAGTTGTCAATGCACCCTTCCAGGTTTTCATATCGGTATCCTTGATACTTGGTGATGGTACTTTTAACCTCATCAAAATTATTTATGCTACTATCAAGGAAATAATGAATGCACGTTCAAAGCAAGGACGACTTCCCCTTGTTTGGGTTCATGATGGTAATGCCATTTTCTTATTGTACCTAGTTGATCTGCCATCATATCATACATCATGGATCTCATCTTGTTTACCTTTTATAAATGCAGATGATAAGAATTCCAAATTATTAGTCGAAGAAAAGCTTCTAAATGAGGTGTTTCTAAAGGACAGTATCCCTCCCTGGTTGGCAGGATCTGGTTATGTGGGCCTTGCAGCAATTTCAACTGCAACAGTGCCAATGATATTCCCACAACTCAAGTGGTACCTTGTCCTCTTTGCCTATGTTGTTGCTCCTCTACTTGCCTTCTGCAACTCATACGGAACTGGACTAACAGATTGGAACCTTGCATCCACATATGGAAAGATTGGCCTTTTCATTTTTGCCTCATGGGTTGGCCAACATGGTGGTGTGATCGCCGGCTTAGCAGCTTGTGGTGTTATGATGTCCATCGTATCCATAGCTGGTGATCTCATGCATGACTTCAAGACTGGGTACCTGACCCTCTCATCGCCAAGGTCCATGTTTGTGTCACAGTTGATTGGCACTGCCCTTGGTTGTGTCATTGCTCCTCTAACCTTTTGGCTTTATTGGACATCCTTCGATATTGGCAATCCTGATGGTATGTTCAAAGCTCCATATGCCGTCATCTTTCGTGAGATGTCAATCATGGGTGTCGAAGGATTCTCAGTGTTGCCGCGACATTGCCTAGCAATATGCTCTTTCTTCTTCTTTGGAGCCATAGCAATCAAGCTCATCCAGGATGTCACCCCAAACAGTCTCTCCAAATTCATCCCGCTCCCGATGGCCATGGCCGTTTCATTTTACATTGGGGCATACTTCGCAATTGACATGTTTATCGGGACTGTCATCTTGTTTGTATGGGAGAGGGTGAACCGTAAGGAGGCAGAGGAGTTTGCGGGTGCGGTTGCTTCTGGTTTGATCTGCGGTGATGGTATCTGGAGTGTCCCGTCTGCAATATTGTCCATCATGAGGATTGACCCACCGATGTGCATGTACTTCAAGCCATCTTTTACCTATGGCTAAAAGTAGAGGAACTTTTGTAGTTTTATGTGATAGTACCACAACACACTCGTGTAAATTAGACCATGGCAATACAACAATAGCTATGTTCATTTTGTTTGTGTCTTCTTTCGCATTCTTTGTTAGAGTATCATGGCATATCCGAGTATTATTGAAACTAGATAATACCCCTTACATAGTTACATTGTAGTGGAAACCTTGTTAAAAGAAGAGTTAATATCACTATTAGTACATAAACTTGTACCCAAGGGAACAAAACGGTACAAGAACTAAAAAACTCCATAAAAGTAGTCCTTCAACTTGCTTAACAGAACATTTCGATACAATTCTGTTAAATGCGACGGCACGTCATTAATTGCCTGTTAACTGCAGCAGCAGCCCCGCTATCTCTCCCTCTCCATGTTCGCGAGGGACCCACTTGCCAATGAGGGCGCGAGAAAGAAATATTGACTTAGAAAAGAACAACGGAAGTTCGAACCTGGGACCTTGCACTAGTCAGGCGCGCGAGATAATGAGCCAAACCAGAAGAATTTGTGTGACCTGCCCAGGTAAACATTCTATTATATTTTGTCGCAGAGGCGGAGAAATAAATAGAAAAGAAATGTAGCGCGGAAGAGGGGTCTTGAACCACGAACATCTGGTATTATCTTCCCATGCGTTAGGACATCTACAGCCGGACGCCCCAAACCTTCCTCGAACGCCTGGGCAAATGGCTCGGTCACGAAATTTTGATCTAGACGCACGCTCAAACATCTGGGCTGACCGGCACCCCTCATATCCATCCCAAATATGGGGCGGGTATTGGGCACCCGGGCGTCCGCCACATCGAACCCGGCTCACACTGGCCCACCCGACCCCACATATATTCCTCCCCATTCGCTCGCCGGACCAAACCCTAGCCACTTCATTTCACTCCCCTCTGGCACTCAAGCTCACCTCCGACGATCTATGGCAGTCTCCAGCATGGCGGGCAGCAGATCCGAGTCCTTCACTTCCAGATTCGTCACCCCCGAGCTCATCCCATGCGGCCTCAAGGAGGAGATGGTCGTCCGGCTTGCGCTCCACCGCTCCCGGGAGGAGGTCCGTGCACGGCAATGCTCGGACTCCTTCCATCGGGAATCCATTGCGTCCGCCCAAATGGCGCATGGATCCGACGGTAGGTGTGTCATCGCTGCCTCACCGGAGGCGATACGGTCCGTCTGGTGTCCGAACGCGGTGGCGGACGCACAACCCCTCTGTTGGCGCACCGAGCAGCGAGACACACCATGAGCATCGTTTGACGGAAACATGGCACGGCGTGCCCGCCGTGTGAGGCATCGGGCGCAGGAGGCGGCAGCAGTTCTCGTGGCAGTGGATGTTGGCGAGGCGGAGCCGCACTCTCCAGCGCCCCGTGGTGCAGCAGTCTGGGTGCCGCAACCGTGTCGTGGTGGATGTCGCCGGCTCGTCCCAGGACAGATCCATCATCCATCAGACGTCCACCGGCACCGTTCAGGTTCTGGGCTCCGACGAGGAGGAGTTGGGCATGGGAGACGGTGGCGCCTTGAGTCCTGTGAGCCGGCTCGTGTCCCATGCCCTACTCTACTTTGCCGGCGATTGGACCAACACTCTAGGGAGTGCAACCGACCGCCGGACATGGACACGGCGGAGACAAACGAGCTCCGCTCAAAGATCACTGTGTTGCATGTAATAATATGGATTTGAGGTATCCAAATGTGGAATGCATTATTTGAGATGTGACCGGTCAATGTCCGTGGGTGTTTGAGGGTTTGGATTTGCCAAGTCCAGCTGTAGATGCTCTTACCACAACGACTGGATGTCAAACATGGAGAAATATAGTTTGGTGAGTCTTTTTGCAGTGTACTTCAGCGGCGTGCCAATTCTTCCGTGCGTGTAAACAATTCACTGAAACAGTTATATAAACCAATTCTGAAATTGTTGTAGTCTGGGAGAAAGGCGTTTCGGAGGCCGAGCTCCATGGAGGCCTTTATTTTTGAAAAATTCAAATAAAACTTTTATGCTTCAAAAAATTCTAAAAAAAAATGTGTGTATGTAAGGATCACATGTGTGTAAAAATTCATGATGAAATACCTTGAGTTGTGACCTGTATAAAAAACATAAATTCATGGCCTGAGAGAATGAATAGTAGCCTGTGTTAAACAGCCCCAGATTTGTCTTTTTTGCACAGCCCCATTTCAATGTATTTTGAACTGAAAATTTAGACATGTTTGTGTTATGCCTTCATGTATATCTGTATTTTTTTAAAAATATGAGTTTTTTTCAAATTTGAATTTGGAGGCCTCACTAGAGACCGAGCTCCAAAACGGATTTCCACGGTGGTTAAGGTTATATAAACCATAAAATTAAGAATTTTGCATAAGAAACTAGTATACGAGTATATGGTGCCTTTGAGTCGGTTGGTTATCACGCGTGTACCACCAACGCGAGAGAACCGAAGTTCGAACCTCCACGAGCTCGTTTTTCATTTCCTGTCTTTCTTTCTTAACCCCCTCTGACAAGTGGGCCCCACTGGCAAACAGAGAAAGAGAGCGCGAGGTGCTGCTGCAGTTAGCACGCGATAGACGGCGTCCGTTAAATTTAATTGATTTGTATTGAAATGTTTTGTTAAGCAAGCTAAAGGGCTACTTTTATGGGGGTTTTAAGTTCTTGTACCATTTTGTTTCCTCGGGTACAAGTTTATGTACTAACAGTGGTATTAACTCTTAATGTATAATATCGAACCAACTTGTGATTGGATGGTTAGAGGGATTGTGGTATCCCCAGCCTATCAGGGTTTAAATCCTGGTGCTCGCATTTATTTCTGGATTTATTTCAGGACTTTCAGCGATGTGCATTTACTGGAAGGAGACGTTCCCGTCGACGACTATGACGGCTCAGTCTTTCGGAGATGCTTCCACGAGCTCGTTTTTCATTTCCTGTCTTTCTTTCTTAACCCCCCTCTGATAAGTGGGGCCCACTGGCAAACAGAGAAAGAGAGCGCGAGGTGCTGCTGCAGTTAGCACGCGATAGACGGCGTGCCGTTAAATTTAACTGATTTGTATTGAAATGTTTTGTTAAGCAAGCTAAAGGGCTACTTTTATGGGGGTTTTAAGTTCTTGTACCATTTTGTTTCCTCGGGTACAAGTTTATGTACTAACAGTGGTATTAACTCTTAATGTATAATATCGAACCAATCTGTGATTGGATGGTTAGAGGGATTGTGGTATCCCCAGCCTATCAGGGTTCAAATCCTGGTGCTCGCATTTATTTCTGGATTTATTTCAGGACTTCCGGCAATGTGCATTTATTGGGAGGAGACGTTCCCGTCGACGACTTTGACGGCTCAGTCTTTCGGAGATGCTCATAGGGGTAGACTATGTGTGTGTGCGTTCATAGGGATAAGTGTATGCGCGTGTATATGAGCGCTTATGTATGTAATGATGTTCAAAAAAAACTCTTAATGCATAACACATGCTAAAAATAACTAACGATGCAAAGGAAAATGTAAGACGGTATCAATGATGCAAAAGAGATTCACCAGCAAGTTTCAATCAAAGTGCGTTCATAGGGAGTGTATGTGAGCATATACGATTGTGTTGTCTTAAGAAAAGCAAGTTGCAATCAGCAATGGCTGCGCATATTCCACTACGAGCCACCAGGAGCTGGCATTCTTCCCCATCTGGGAACCAACACGCCAAAGAGTGTAACTACACCTACTCGGAGCCTCGTGCCCGTCGGGCCAGTACATGGTCAACTTGGGTGGAACCGTAATGCACGGAACACCCTCTAGGCAATACGGTGTGACAACACAGAGCTTCGGTCCGGACCACGACACGTAGAACACCATCGAGGCAAGGCATTGCGCTCGTCATGGCATGGGGAGGGATGATTGTGACGTTGGCACAGTAACCATTGCGACGATCACCGTGACGATGATGATGATGACAACTAACGCATCATCAACCATATTTCCATCCCACGACTCCCCCGAACATGGTGTGCATACGCCCAAAAGCATTCGGCTCCCACCAGCATTTTACAATTAAAGAACACGGGCGAGACGCAGCCAGACATCAGGTTGTCCAACTACCAAACTGCGTGTAGGATCAAGACCAATGGAGGCAACGGCTGCATCGTTCATAGCCGACTACGATAATGCAAAATACTCCCTCTGTACATCTAAAGTCTGATGTTACTTCATCTTAAGTCCACCTTGCAAAACAAACACCATTATCAAATATACTTGCAGAGGCAGCAGCAGATATAAAATGACTCCAAATATCACGCATATATAAAATAGCAACTTTATCTGACTTAGTTTCACCAACACAACCAAACGATACTATGACCACAGTAATAAGGAGTTCGAACACTGCTCGACACAAATAACAGAAGCTTAACAAGTTCGCAAATCCGCTAACACGACTATCACCACCACCGTATACCGCCGCCACCACCATAGATGTGGTAAAGAACCACCAACGACGCCACCGCCCGACACCATCTCATTTCTTCTTGGCCGCAGCCTTGGTCACCTTGGCGCCGGTTGGATCCTTCTTCTCCACGGCCTTGATAACGCCCACGGCAACCGTCTGCCTCATGTCGCGCACAGCAAAGCGGCCCAGGGGAGGGTACTGGGCGAAGGTCTCCACCACCATGGGCTTGGTGGGGATCATCTTGACGAACCCGGCATCACCGTTCTTGAGGAACTTAGGCGCCGCCTCAATCTCCTTGCCGGACCGCCGGTCGATCTTGGTCTGGATCTCAGCAAACTTGACGGCGATGTGGGACGTGTGGCAGTCCAGCACCGGGGCATAGCCATTGCTGATCTGGCCAGGGTGGTTCATGATGATGACCTGGGCGGTGAAGTTGGCAGCCTCCTTGGCAGGGTCGTCCTTGGAGTTGGAAGCGACATACCCTCGCTTGAGATCCTTGACAGCCACGTTCTTGACGTTGAAGCCGACGTTGTCACCAGGAAGCGCCTCCAGGAGAGACTCGTGGTGCAT